CAGCATGCGGCTTCGACCATTTAGGTTGCCACGTCATGATGTTGTCTGCCCTCTTTCCTCCTTCCCTCTCCTCCGCCTCTTCCTCCTCCGCCTCCCCTCCTCCTCCTGTCACCTCGTCTTAAATACATATGTGAACACCCTTCGGGGGATGAGGAGGTTGGGGTGGGGGGGGGGGGGGCACATGGAGCTAAAGCGTAGCATAGCACTTCATAGCATAGCATCGCGTAGAGGAGCATCGCATAGCATAGCATTGCTTGGAATTGCGCGGCATAGCATTGCATAGCAGCATAAACGCCAGGGGGCGCCCCCCTGGACACCCGCGGGACAGTCGCGGGTCACCGCGGGACACCATGAGACACCACGGGCAACCCACGGGACACGCGCGGGACACCTGCGGGACATCGTCGGCCAACCGTGAGGGGGCAACATTGAGCCCAGCATCCCTCTCGCCAGCCCGCGCGGCCTCGATTCGCCCGCGCGCACGACGCGAAACCGATGCCGATTTCCCAGTGGGGGGCTTTCCGTTCCACACGATATCCCCCCCAACCTCCAATCATGCCGCATCGTTTCAAAGCTCCTTCTAATGACGTGTGCGAGTTTGCGGCCACCCTTTTAATACTCCTCCTCACGCTGCGGCGCTGCCGTGCGGTGCTGATGTGCAGTCATCCGGGTTAGGGTCACTCACTTTTGCTGTCGAATAAACCATTCGCAAAACGGCGCTCCCCTGCCTTCATTCCCTCCCCTAAGCCCACCCCCGGGAACGCGTCGCTGGCGACGACAGCGTCGTCGTCGTCGCTTTCGTGGTCTCCGTCGTTTTTGTCGTCGTCGTCGTCGCGGTCGTCGTCGTTGTCCAACCATTATCGTCGCCACGGGTGGGCGTGGCTCGGCAGGTTGGCAAGCATTAACACTACGAGGTTGTCCTGCGGAGGGTTTCTCAGCGGAGTCGCGCACGTTCTAAAAAGGAGAAGCTCCAGGCAAGGAGGGCACTGAATCGGAGAAGTAGGAGGAAAAGGAGGTGAAACAGAAGAACGAGGAGCAGGAGGAGGACGACGACGATGACAAATGGGAGTACGAGGAGGAGGAGGGGGGAGGAGGAGGAGGAGGAGGAGGAGGAGGACGAGGAGAAGGAGGAGGAGGAGCAGGAGGAGGAGGCGGAGTTGCAGGAGGTGGAGGAGGAGGAGGACGAGGAGGAGGAGGAGGACGAGGAGGACGAGGAGGACGAGGAGGAGGAGGAGGACGAAGAGGGGGAGGGGCAACGGAAGCGCGCAAGCCGAGAAAGGTTCCCTCCTCCTCGTCCTCCTCTTCTCAGCCATCTTCCCACCCCTACGTATCGAAGACGCCTACGGCGAATCACCGCCGCCCCCTGCCTTTGTGGAAGCGCCTATGTGGCCGAACGTTGAGGCCAGACCTGCCAAGCCATCGGACCATGTGTTCCCCGAATCGGTTTGGAAAGCCTTCGGGGAACACGTGGGCGTCTTGATGGTCATCGTCGCCGTCTTGGAGGCCTCTTGGGCGATCTTTCGGCGATCTTTGGGGGCTCTTGGGCCGTCTCGGGCCGTCGGAAGGCCGAAAGAAGGGAAATGCCCAAATCCATCAAAAACCTTGGGAAAATCAGTGATTTTGGCATCTTTTGGCCTTCCTGGAGGCCCTCTTGGGGGCCTCTTGGGCCCTTTTGGGCCAGCTTCGAGCCAACTTCGGCCATCTTGGTGGGTTCCTGGCACGTCTGACGCCGTCGGGAGCCGTTTTGGGGGCCTTTCTGGGCCAACGGGGGACCCTCTTGGGGCGCTCCAGGGCCGTCTTGGAGGCCATCTTGGGCGTCTTGGAGGCCATCTTGGGCGTGTTGGAGGCCTCTTGGGCCGTCTTGGGGCCCTCTAGGGGCCATCTTGGAGGCCACTTGGGCCATCAGGGGGCTCTCTTGGGGGCCTCTTGGGCGATCTTGGGGGCTTCTTGGGCCGTCTTGAGCCGTCGGAGAGCCGAAAAGGCGCAAATGCCAAAATCCTTCAAAAACCAAGGGAAAATCAATGATTTTGCCCTCTTCGGACTCTCCTGGAGGACCTCTTGGAGGCCTCTTGGGCCGTCTGGGAGGCCTCTGGGGGGCCTCTTGGGCCGTCTTGGGCCGTCTTGGACTCTCTTGGGCCGTTTTGGAGGCCGTCTTGGACCATCTCGGGCGGACTTGGAGGCCATCTTGGGCCATCTTCTCGATTTTTTGAGGATGTCCCGAGCGAAACGGCCGTTTTTGGGCACGGTGGCGGGTTCTGCCGGAGCCCACTGGGGAGTTCTTTTGGAAAAAGAACCAAAACCAAAACCTGACAGCTCATCCAGCACGCCGTGCACCCCTGCAAGCAGGGGGCGGCGGATCCTGCTGCCTGCGGCAAATCCCGCCACCGTGCCAGTCCAGCATGCTCGGCGGCCATCGTTCGAGGGGACACGGGAAACCGTATTTGCAAAATGAACAAGTTGGTAACGATGATGAGGATGACGAGGATCATGCGGGTGTTTTCTGCTGATGATGACGACGACGATGGTAATGATGATGATGATGATGATGATGATGATGATGATGATGATGATGATGATGATGATGATGATGATGATGATGATGATGATGATGATGATGATGATGATGATGATGATGGTTGTGATGATGACGACGACGACGCTGATGAGGATGATGCTGATAGTGTTGGTTGTTATCATGATGGTGATGATGGGGCTCATGATGGTGATGATGATCTTTCGGAGGGCGACGACGAGGATGACGGTGAGGACGATCATGATGATGATGGCGTTGAAGATGATGATGATGATGATGATGATGATGATGATGTTTTGATGATGATGCTGATGATGATGATGATGAGTATGTGGATGATGATGATGATTCTGATGATCATGAGGATCATGATGCTGAGGATGATGATGATAATGATGATGGTGATGATGACGACGACGATAATGATGATGCTGATGATGCTGGCGATGATGATGATGTTAATCATGATGCCGATTATGATGATGATGATGATAATGATGATGCCGATGATGATGATGATGATGATGATGATGATGATGATGATGATGATGATGATGATGATGATGATGATGATGATGATGATGATGATGATGATGATGATGCTGCTGATGCGGATGATGCTGCTGAAATGGATGCGGAGGAGGAGGAGGAGGAGGAGGAGGAGGAGGAGGACGACGACGAATAGGAAAGCTGCCACATGTGGCACCTTTCGTAATAATTTACGCAGCGGCCGCATGGACCTCATTTTCTTTCGTATTGGGGCTGCCCTGGGCTCCTGAGGGGCAGTTTTGGGGGTCCCTTGGGGTCCTCTTGGAACGTCTTGAGGCCCTCTTGGGCTCTATGAGCCTTCGGGACTGTCTGGGGGGTCTTCGGGAGCCGTCGTGGGGCCGTGTTGGGCCGTCCAGGGGCTTAGGCCGTCTTGGGCCTCCCCGGAGGCTGTTTAGGGCCAGTTTGAGGCTCTCTTACGTCTGTCCTGGGCTCTCCAGGGGCTCCCTGGGACTGTCTTGAGGCCGTCTTGGAGGTCTCTTGGGCTATCTGAAAGCCTTCTTGGGCCGTCGTGGGGCCATCCTCGAGGTCTCTTGGGCCGTCTTGAACCTACGGAGAATTCTTTATTTTCGCCTCTTAGGGTCCGCTGGAGGCTCCCTTGGAGTCCTCTTGGGCCGTCTTGCAGGCCTCATGGGTGATCCTGAAACAATCTGGGGCTATCTTGGGGTTATTTTGTGCTGTCTTGGAGGCACATTGGGCAATCTTGGCGGCCTTGGTGGCCTCCCAGGTCCGTCTTGGAAGCCATCTTGGACATCTTGGCCTGGTGGCGCCGACAGAGCCTCGGAAAGACAGCTCCTCCTCATCCTCCTCCTCTTCATCCTCCCCCCCCCCCTTCTCTCCCGGCTCCCCAGGACTCCCCAGGACTCCCCGGATTCCCCGGACTCCCCGGACTCCCTGGACTCCCAGGACTCCCCCGCACCCCCCGGACCCCCCCGACTTCCCAGACTCCCCAGATTCCCCGGACTCCCCGGACTCCCCGGACTCCCCGGACTCCCTGGACTCCCCGGACCGCCCGGACTCCCCGGACTCCCCCGGACTCCCCGGGCTCCCCGGACTCCCCGGACTCCCCGGACTCCCCAGGCTCCCCGGACTCCCCGGACTCCCCGGGCTCCCCGGGCTCCCCGGACTCCCTGGACTCCCCGGGACTTCCCGGACTTCCCAGACTCCCCGGACTCCCCAGACTCCCCGGACTCCCTGGACTCCCCGGGCTTCCTGGACTCACCGGACTCCCCGGACTCCCCGGACTCGACCCAGATGCGCACCGCTCTCTATGACTATTGATTGCAATTGCTGGATGTTGCTTCGGTGCTGCGGCGGTCTCCCCCGTACGTACCCCAGTGTTCCTCTTCCCGTTCTCCTCCTCCACCAATTCTTTTCCGTGCAATCGTCGTAGCACCGAGCCCATCGCCGTGGCGATTTAACACCTGAGTTAAGTCGGTCCCGGGCTGGTGCGCCAAGGGTGGGAAACACTTAACTCCAGAGTTAAATCGTTTCCTTGCTGGCGCGTCCACCAGCTTCGCGGCGATTTAACTCCGGAGTTAAATCTTCCGCGGGCTGGCGCTTGCCCCAGGGTGGGGGCGACTTGACTCCGCAGTAAAGTCTTGGATAACCTCCCGGTTTCAGTCGCTCACCCTCGTCGCCACTGCTGTGGCTGACTGCCCTCGCTGGACTCGCCTCGAGATCTTGGTCAAGACGCGCCCAGGGAGATCTCAGGGGACTACGTGGCGGTATCGCTGCCTTCTGGTTCCCCCCAGTCCCCGGCGAAGGCGGTGCGCGTTCTTCGGGCGGACCGTCGGCCGTATTTTGGCAGCGCGCGCTCTCGTGCGAGGCGTGCGTCAGATCCCCCTCCTCTCGAGTTCTTCCTCTCTCTCCTCCTGCTTCTCCGTTGCCTCCCTCGCCTCCCCCCATCCTCCTCTTTCAGGCAGTTCGACGAGAGAAAGAGAAGAGACTGAAGAAGCTGCAGCGCCTCTACAAGGGCATGCAGGATACCGTTGCCCTGCTTTGCGCTGGGGGGGATCTTGGGGAAGAGGGTCACGATTGGGGAAGGGGGAGGGGAGGTGGTCAAGGAGATGGGGGAGGAGGAGGAGGAGGAGGAGGAGGAGGAGGAGGAGGTAGACAAATACGAAAAATAACGAGAATAATGCGATTCTGAAGAAGAAACATGATAACAAGCATAATAAGCATAATAAGCATAATAATACTAATCATAATAATAATCTGAATAATAATCACAATAATAATCATAATAATAATAAACACAGTAAGAAGAAAAGGAGGAGAACAAGGAGGAGGAGGAGGACCAGTGGAAACCGAGGATGCATCAAATATGTTTTATTTTCACCCTTCTGTTCCAAGGCTTCTCACACATCCCTACGCTTACTCCTTTTCACCTGCAAGAAGCACCCACTTCAAAGACGAGCGCCCGATTTGCGTGCCGTCCAGGCGAAAGCCCCGTTTTGAAATGCATCCGTCGACCTGCGATCAATTCGTTTTCTGTGTACATCATGAGGTTAATGGAGCCACCCCAATAGATCCTTGACTCAGGAATGCTTGTTGATATGTGTAACTGTTGCGCGATTTGACATTTCAATCGGTACTCGATTTCGAGAACGAGCCTCTCTCGATTCGCTTATCGCCATACAGCTTTGAATATATATATATATATATATATATATATCCGTCCCCAATCTGTGTAGCAGTTGTGAGCTTTTGAGATAAACGCTGCGATGGTGCAGAAGCCACAGTACGGTAACGACCTACCTTCTGTCTTGGTACATGTTGGAAGCCCTCAAGACACATTTAAGTTGCGTGGCGCTAAACCGAGAGCCGCATGTTGTAAACGATGCGCCTTCCATCATGCTAACTGGTTGAAGTGTGTGAGGCAAGAGTGCGCAGCAGCAAGGCGAGATGCTCGTTTCGAAAACGACCCACCCTTCACCCTCGAAAGCGTGTGATGTTCTATATAAGATTGAGGAACAGAAGTTGTGAGAGAGTCTCAGGCGAAACGCCTGGTCCGCCCTGCCAACATTCCTTATGGTGCGACGAGGAGACGAGGAGGGCTTCTCTTGATACATAAGGAAGAGACGTAGGAGGAGGGAGAGGAGGAGGGACAGGATGGGGACGCAGAAGAGTCTCCACGGCCAGGAGGTGTCAGGATGATCTGCGGGAAGGCTCACGAGGCTAATTCCCAGCATATTACATCAGGCACATTTTCTGGGCGGGCTGTCATTTAGCTGATGCTCGTGTGGCGCTTCTGGGATCGTGAGGTGTGTAGGATTTTTCAGCAATTAGGGTGTAAGTGGTAAGTGCCAAGAGGCCCGTCACGGCTGGGCGTCTATCGGATGTGTTGACTGCGTGTTGCCATGTGGTGATGTGTTTAGTCGGTCTTGTTTTCATTGTGTTGTGTGGTGCCGTGTTGTGCTGTGTTGGATGCGTTGCCCGTGTAGTGTTTTGCTGTGCCTCGCGGTGCCCAGCGCGTTGTCCCAGACGGTGTTGTGAGGTGCAGAGTGTAGGCGTGCAGTGTTCTGTGGTGTTGTGTTGAGTTCGGTTGCTTGCGTGGTGTTGCGTGACGTTGGGTGGTCCAAGTGGGGCTGTGTTGTTCCGTCTCGGACCCGTTGGCCGTGTGGTGCCGTGTGGTGGTGCGTCGAGCCCAGTGCCTGTGCGGGTCCGCGGAACCCGCTGCCCATGCGTGGTGCCATGCGGTGTCGTGTCGAGATCTCCGTATTGCATTGTGGTGCTGTGTCAGATCCCCTCATTGTGGCCATGAGAGAGAGAGAGAGAGAGAGAGAGCTCCTCGGGTGCCTGGTGGTGCTGTGCCGAATCCCTTCATTGGTGCTGCTTGGTGCTGTGTCGAATGCCCTCGCTCTGGCGTTGAGCCTTTCACAGACCGCGTGACCACTATCAACATGAAGATCTGAGTACTATCATTTCTCATGGTTTTATTGTGTATCTACTTCTATTCTGACCTATTGGCGCCTGGAAGCAAGCTGCTCATCGTTTGTCGCTTTCGGCGACTCGAGAGTGTTCCGTCCTGCGACATGTCAATTAAGTATCGGCTTACATTCGACCCATTCAGACGTTTCGTAACATGTCGTATTGACGGCAGTCCGAGCCGCCATGTACTGCGAAGGCCTTACGGTCGGTGCCGCCGATCCGGTGGCTAGGACGAGGAGGATGACGAAGAGAAGGAGGAGGAGGCGGAAAATTAGGAGGAGGAGGATGGGAGGGGCAAGGGAGGGTCAAGGGGGAGAGTGGTGATGGCGACGACGACGACGACTCAGATAGAAGCGTCAAGGGGGAGAAATCAAACGGGAAATCTTTTCGAATAGAGGAGTGCTCCCCCAAGGGGGTCAGAACCCCCAGGGCCCCCCCACCAGGAACTCCGCCGGGGGAGGGATCACAGGGAAGGGGCCTCCCCTCGACTGGATGACGACGTTCCTTGATCTCTGCCAGACATGGGTGCCCTCAACTTTCAGCGACGGATGTCTCGGCTCGAACAACGATGAAGGGCGCAGCGAAGTGTGATAAGCATTGTGAATTGCAGAATTCCGTGAACCAATAGGGACTTGAACGTAAACTGCGCTTTCGGGATATCCCTGAAAGCATGCCTGCTTCAGTGTCTATTCTGTATCATTCCAGCTTCTGGCCTGTCCAGAACGCTTGTGTGTTTCTGTGTGCCAGGGCGCCCTGCGGCCTCTGGCGCATTCAGTGCACAGGGTCTTCCCACGCAAGCAACTAGAAGAGTGTCTCTGATGCTATCTGTTGCCTTGTCGCTGGGCATGGTCTTGCTGTCTAGTGCCCAGCGCACTCTTACCACTCCGCGGACGCGGTCCCAAGCCCCAGGACCCCCCCACCACCCCCGCGACCCCGGGTCCCGCCCCCACCTCTTCTGGGACCCCCTTTGGGGCCCCCCCTGCGGGGGAGGGATCAAGGGAAGGGACCTCTTTTTCGATTCGATTGGGACGTTGCTCGATTTTCGGTTTGCTGGATCTGTTGACGATGTGGGTGGAAATCCATCGGGTAGCCTTTGAGGTATCCGTGCACCTCACAGAGAATGGGACATGAGCGTCGAACGGAAAAGCTTCTCAGTCACGCCGACAGTCGGCAGCTTCCATACCCAGCACATTTCCCTGCTTCTGTGGTGCAGCAGTGTGGTGGCTTGTGGCTAGCCTCGAATATCGAATCCACCTGCCACGTGTTACCGCATTTGTGCCATGTGGTGTGTGAGTAATATTTTGATGGGTTGGGCGTGAGCTCGTTTTCTGTTCCCCCGTGGGAGATGCATCTGCGCAAGTAGAACCTATCAGGAAATGGACAACTATCCCGACATCGCCATTATCGTCGACGAGAAGAAGGAACATCTTGCCCGCGCGTCCCCGAATTTTCTCTCGTCATCAATTTCTCTTTTCCCCACATCACGCATCCCCTGTTGTAGTCTTGCGAGTTTCATATCTCGTTCTCTCTCTCTCTCTCTCTCCCTCCCATTCGCTAACGCTCTCTCACGCTCTCTCTCTTTCTGCCCAATGCCTTCTTTTCTTTTTCGTGTATGTATGTATGTATGTATGTATGTATGTATGTATGTCTGTGTGTGTATGTATGTATGTATGTATGTATGTATGTATGTATGTATGTATGTATGTATGTATGTATGTATGTATGTATGTATGTATGTATGTATGTATGTATGTATGTATGTATGTATGTATGTATGTATGTATGTATGCATGCATGCATGCATGCATGCATGCATGCATGCATGCATGCATGCATGTATGTATGTATGTATGTATGTATGTATGTATGTATGTATGTATGTATGTATGTATGTATGTATGTATGTATGTATGTATGTATGTATGTATGTATGTATACGTGTATCATGTCTCTCTCTCTATCCATTATTATGTGCTTGCTGTAGTTGTCTCACTTTCCCTCTCTCTCGCTCTTTCCCACATTCTACGATGTATCTATGCATGCATGCATGAATGTATGCATGTATGCAATATATATATATATATATATATATATATGTGTAGTCATGTATGCATGTATGTATGGGTGTATGCATGCATGCACATATACATGTATGTATGCATGTATGCATGTATGCATGTATACATGATGCTTACATGATGTATACATGTGTGTACGTGTGTCTGTATATATATATATGAATATATTTCTCTCCCTCACGGCCCTGGAGGCTCCCCAGAAAAGGGAGCGGCACCCCCCAGAGGGACGGGGCCTCCAGGGCAGGCCGGAGCAGGGCGTCTGCTCGCGAGGCCGTAGCCCGCAGGCCGCGTGAACTCGGCCACTCGCTCGGGAGGAGGATGAGGAGGAGGAGGAGGAGGAGGAAGAGGAGGAGGAGGGGGATGGAGGAGGGACCAGCACGCAGTTGGATGAAGAGTTTGGGCCGCCTGTCCTCCAGGACGTGGCGGCCTCCTGGCTGGCTTGGGCTGCTTCGTAGCAGCTGTGGCAGCAGGACAGGAGGGAGACTGAGCACAATCGGGCTGACAGCAGCACTCTTGCCGTGACGGCCCGACTGTGCCCGCTGCAGCTGCAGCTTCGCTCCGTTGTGGGGCGGTCTCAAAACGCAATTGCCAGATAAGCCTCGCGAATTGCCCTCCTTCCAAGAACTACAGCTATGGCACACCAATCAACTCGTTGGCTGCTCGAGGTGCTTATAGTAGAACATATCATGCCCCCGAGGGTAGGAGGCAAGGCTGGACATCTGCGGGCAGTGCCAAGGACGATCCGTCGCTCGATGACGCTCATCATAAGCTTGAATGTGCGGACGCAGATGCGGCAAATCGTGCATCGGCGTTGGCCCTTGACTAACGCCCAGACGTGGGCCCTCGGGGTCTCACGAGGGGCCACAGGAGGCGGAGGGGGAGGGGGAGGGGCCACAGGGGGCGAGGCCTCAGGGTCCCAAGAGGCCACGGCCGAGGCAGCCCCTGACTGGCTTGGCCAATGCCTTGTTACGACGAGGGGCTTCAACAGCATAGCGAAGGTACTTTTTGAGCAGAGCAGTGTCGTTCTGATACTGCTCTGCTTCCACACGACTGGGTTGGCTGCCAAGGTTCGCGGCGGTCGTGGCGTCATTCGGTCGGCGGCATCGTTGCCGCATGCTAGTCTGAACTCTGTACTGTCTGGGGACAGGATGTCCAAACTTTGGTGTGCTTTGACCTTCGTAAGTTTGGGCCCGAGACTGATGTAGCCTCCGCTTGCAAGCATTTTGTAACCAGCCCACTTATTATGCCCAGGGTAGCCCCCGCCGCCATGCAGCTGGAGCACCACCTTATAGTCAGAGTCTAACCGCATGCCGATGAGAATAAAGTACCCCCCCTTAAGTCGTTAGAGTTTTTTATCGTCGACCAATAAGAGTTTGGTCGGGGGCGCGGGGGCGCGGAGGCCGAACTTCCTTATCACGGGAAAAGTTCGCCATCGAAGTTATTTCCTTCTTATGTTGAGAAAACAACATCAAGCGAAGCGAACACGTTGTTTCAGGATGTCTCAAGCGAAACCAATGTCCTTCTGTCTCTTTGTAGTTCTTTCTGTCTCTCTTTCTTTCTTTCTCTGTCTCTCTTTCTCTCTCTCTCTCTGTCTCTCTATCTCTTTCTCCTTCCTGGCCTCTCTGTCTCTCTCTCTCTCTCTCTCTCTCTTTATATATATATGTCTCTCTATCTCTTTCTCCTCCTCTCCCTGGCGCCCTGAACCTGTTTATCGCTGGGTTTGATTATCCAGGGAAAACGAGGCACATGAGCTACCCTACACGAGCACTTAAAAACATTAATTTTCATAAAGCGCTTGTAAATAAAATTTAATACATTTGAATCTTCAGATTTTTTGGTTTATCCTCCTTTCCTCTTCTCTTTACCCTTTTCATTTATTATTATACTTCTCTTTTTAAATGTATATTCTCTCTTTAAGTCCTTCCTTTCTTTTTCTTTGTGATGTTTCTCTCTTTCTCTCTCTCTCTCTCTTTCTTTCTCTCTCTCTCTCTCTCCATGCCCCCCCCCCCTCTGAACTTTTTTATCACTGGGGTTGGTTATCCATGGAAAATGAAGCACATGAGCTACCCTACACGAGCACTTAAACATTTTAATTGTCATAAAGCGTTTGTACATAAAATTGAACTTGAGATTTTTCCTTCTCTTTCTCCTCCTCCTCTGTTTTCTTTTCTTTTTGTTTTTTCCCTTTTTCTTTTTCATTTCTTTTTGTTTTTTTATTTTTGTTTTTGTATATCGTTTTCTCCATTCCTCCGCCCGCCTGAACTTTATTATCGCCGCGGTTGATTATCCAGGGACACCGAGGCGGATGAGCTATTCCGAGGATGTCTCAAGCGAAACAAGCATATACTCGAGGATGTCTCAAGCGAAACAAGCATATACTGAAGGATGTCTCAAGCGAAACGATACGTTTCTTAAGCGAAATAAGCAATAGTTTGACGGTGTCTCAAGCGAAATAAGCAATAGTTTGTGGATGTCTCAAGCGAAACAAGGGATTTGTCGAGGATGTCTCCAGCGAGATAAGCCATTGTTGAGGATATTTCTATGAAGACTAAACGCCAAGGATGTCTCAAAACGTGCTCGGCTTGGTCTCCTCTTGATCATCTCTTACTTCGAGATTATGCTGAGGTCTGGTGGGCTACTTTGATTATCTCCCCCTGAACCCCGAACTTTATTATCCCCTAGTGTTTATTCTCGAAGGTATTCGGTTAGTTTGTTTGATACTGGGAGACAGGCGGCAGGCCGCGACCTCGGCAAGATGCTCGGCGGCTCCAGAGGCTTGGGATCCCAGGGACCCGACTCTGCCGCCCAAAGTGGCAAGCTCTTCACCATTCATCATGCACACTGCGGCAAAACCAGCGGCATTGAAATTGTAGTGCCACATGGCGCGTGCAGCTTCCATCGACATATACATCTCCCTTCAACGCCTCCTCGGGCCGCGGGGGCGCGGGGGCGCGGAGGCCGAACTTCATTATCACGGGAAAAGTTCGCCATCGAAGTTATTTCCTTCTTATGTTGAGATAACAACATCAAGCGAAGCGAACACGTTGTTTCAGGATGTCTCAAGCGAAACCAATGTCCTTCTGTCTCTTTGTAGTTCTTTATGTCTCTAGTTCTTTCTTTCTTTCTCTGTCTCTCTTTCTCTCTCTCTCTCTCTCTGTCTCTCTATCTCTTTCTCCTTCCTGGCCTCTCTGTCTCTCTCTCTCTATATATATATATGTCTCTCTATCTCTTTCTCCTCCTCCCCCTGGCGCCCTGAACCTGTTTATCGCTGGGGTTGATTATCCAGGGAAAACGAGGCACATGAGCTACCCTACACGAGCACTTAAGAATTTTAATTTTCATAAAGCGCTTGTAAATAAAATTTAATACATTTGAATCTTCAGATTTTTTGGTTTATCCTCCTTTCCTCTTCTCTTTACCCTTTTCATTTATTATTATACTTTTCTTTTTAAATGTATATTCTCTCTTTAAGTCCTTCCTTTCTTTTTCTTTGTGATGTTTCTCTCTTTCTCTCTCTCTCTCTCTTTCTTTCTCTCTCTCTCTCTCTCCATGCCCCCCCCCTCTGAACTTTTTTATCACTGGGGTTGATTATCCATGGAAAATGAAGCACATGAGCTACCCTACACGAGCACTTAAACATTTTAATTGTCATAAAGCGTTTGTACATAAAATCTAATACATTTGAACTTGAGATTTTTCCTTCTCTTTCTCCTCCTCCTCTGTTTTCTTTTCTTTTTGTTTTTTTCCTTTTTATTTTTCATTTCTTATTGTTTCTTTTTATTTTTGTTTTTGTATATCGCTTTCTCCATTCCTCCGCCCGCCTGAACTTTATTATCGCCGCGGTTGATTATCCAGGGACACCGAGGCGGATGAGCTATTCCGAGGATGTCTCAAGCGAAACAAGCATATACTCGAGGATGTCTCAAGCGAAACAAGCATATACTGAAGGATGTCTCAAGCGAAACGATACGTTTCTTAAGCGAAATAAGCAATAGTTTGTGGATGTCTCAAGCGAAACAAGGGATTTGTCGAGGATGTCTCCAGCGAGATAAGCCATTGTTGAGGATATTTCTATGAAGACTAAACGCCAAGGATGTCTCAAAACGTGCTCGGCTTGGTCTCCTCTTGATCATCTCTTACTTCGAGATTATGCTGAGGTCTGGTGGGCTACTTTGATTATCTCCCCCTGAACCCCGAACTTTATTATCCCCTAGTGTTTATTCTCGAAGGTATTCGGTTAGTTTGTTTGATACTGGGAGACAGGCGGCAGGCCGCGACCTCGGCAAGATGCTCGGCGGCTCCAGAGGCTTGGGATCCCAGGGACCCGACTCTGCCGCCCAAAGTAGCAAGCTCTTCACCATTCATCATGCACACTGCGGCAAAACCAGCGGCATTGAAATTGTAGTGCCACATGGCGCGTGCAGCTTCCATCGACATATACATCTCCCTTCAACGCCTCCT